GTGCTTCTGCAGGGCCTTTTCCTTCAGGCAATGGCAGGTGAGAAAGAATTACTTTCTCTGAAATAGACTTCTAAACAGGTAGTTCAGTTCAAACATTACACTGGCATAAACCAGCCCTGCTGATAAAGGAACTAATTTTTCCCTGTGTCCTGAATGATCCCGTCACCATTGGTAAAGTGATCCAGCTGGACAGAACATGACAAGAGTAGAAAACTGAAATTTGATTATTTAAGCAACTTGACTATTGGAAGGAATAAAGACAGAATGAGTGTCTCTGTCCAGCTCCAGCTGTATATTATGGTATGATCTACCTACATCAGCATTTTGGTTTGAAGCAGAAGCATACCTTTGAGGTGTACCTCCCAGCTCTCTCCACTTACTACACTCTGGTTCACATACTGAAATGCTACCAAGGAATACAAACTGGATTCCTTTCAAATGAAATTAAACCAGACTATATGCCCCAACTGTTCAGGGACAATCAGACTTATGGACTGAAGGAAAACCCCAGCACCAAACTGAGGGTCTCAGAATCAACTTTTTTTTATTATTTTTTTAAAATTTTATTTTATTGATACAAATTTTTTGGACCATGGTACTTACCAGAGCAGTCACAAAATCCAAAGAGTTCTGCTGTCAAGAGCTACTGTCCATCTTCCTAAGATCCAACTTCTCCACAAATGTGTACTTGAGAGAGAATGAAGTAGGGGCACAAAGGGTGAAACCATTTTTCTTTTATTCAGTACTAACATAACTGCAAATTAATGTCATTTGAAAGGGCAGAAAATCCTAAAAGAAGGCTGAGAGATCACTCATGACAATGATAAAGGGGAAAAATATAAAATCTCTATTGAGTGGATGAACTAATTAGTTCCAGTAGTTTAATGCTGTCCTGTTTCTTATTTTTAAAATGCAGGAATAAAATCCAAGTTACGTTCTCTTGCTAGATCGTGTTTTTATTTAAATTACAACCTCTTCCTGCCTCTAGCCTACCTTCCTTGAATTTTCTGCTTTATAATATAGCTCCAATTAAACTTTATTTTAGTGCACTGATACTCTTGCTTTACACCTTCTCTTCATCTTGTTTTGTTTCTTTTTCTACTTTCAATGTATACTACAAAACTGGCAACATACAAGTATTTCTTTGCAAGCGAAGACAGTTTAAGAGAAAAAAAAAAATACTCTTTTTAAGAAATAATGAAAGAGTAGGGAATGAGATATACTGGATCTGTGTCAAGACAGAAGATTTGTTTTTAACCCTTCTGAGAATGGTTGACTGCTTCCCAACCTCCGGCTTCTTAATTGAAGTAATTCCATCCTACTGTAGAATGCCTCAAATTCAATGGGTTTACTGTAATCTGAAACAGAAAAATCAGAGGCTTCCTCTGCCTGAAGTAGCTTTCCTATCTAACCTACGCTTGGTTCAAAATTACTCCTTAAAAATATTAGTTTAGATCTAGGGAAGGCTTTTAGAAAGAACATAAAAGCAAGAAAATAACAGTGAACAAGTACAATCTGTTATCTGTGATGTAGAGCAAAGAGTGAAGGCATGTGAAACAACAGAAGGAAGACAGTCATGGATAAGTGTGCTTTCAAGCACAGATATCAAAAACTATTTTTTAGCAAAAGGTGTATATCCTGACTGAGAAATATGTTGTGATGATCAACTTCAAGAATTAAGCATCAAGGAATTGGCTATCAATACAGCCCATGAAAAAAGCTCTCCTTATTGTGCACTTGAGGGAGAGGGGAAAGGGCCAAAACTAATGTAAATAAATCATAAATGGCTCAATGGTTTTGGCTGAACTAAATCACAACAGCTGAATTGTACATAGCAGTCCCAGTGCTAAAGCTGCTATTTGCAATCACTCAGCTCCCAGGAGCTTTGTCTCAAATACCTTCACCAGGCCACTGTTGAGAGTCTTACTGTGCAGTAAGAGAAAGTCTGGCAGGGCTGGAATAGTACAAACAGTGAGAGATCATCCCTAATGATTTGGATTATTTCAGTCTCAAAGCGTTGCCAACCTCAGCTCCAGCTTAATTCCCTCCTTTACAATTTCTCTCTAACCATTTTCCTCACAAGAAAGCATAAAGCTCATGTTGCAGGTGACTGAGATGTAATTGGATGCTATAAAAACCAAAATGTCAGCGCATGCAATGTAAGTTTGTTGCTTTTCAATTTTCCTTCCACTTCCTTGTCTTTTATATGAAGTAGCAAAAATGCAGCTTTGGAATCTTTCAGTCCCATTGGGCTAGTTTCATTTAATTTCAATTTAACTGAAGACTGATTTTTAAGGAAAGCAAATATTCACTCTCTTTGCTCATTTAATGAATATACTATTTTTATTTGTGCTTTCCATTGAGCAAGTAATTATGAGTCTAATGTATAATCCTTCTACAGGTAATAAAACTCAGAGAGGAACATGGAAATGCCACTCAGAACACGGCTCTGCTGCCTGAAGATTGTATCACATGTGATGATGAAGATACTTCTGCTGGTTTGCAAAATTTGCAAACATTAGGCTGTAGCACAATGCAGAAGGCATGCCCAAATGTGCATGTGTTAAGAATATGATATTTTTTAAACACTAGAAATAACTGCATTTCCAGAATTGAAGTGATCTTACTCTACATGAAAAAGACAAGATTCCTTAGCTAATATTACACAAGGTTGAAACCAATTGCAGTTCCAGTAGCTTCCAGCTGAAACACTCTGGATTAGCCTGTGTCAACACAACCACAAAGTTTTTTACAGAATTGAAATTCAGGTGAATACTGTTTTGATCTTGCACTCAGTATAAGAAACACTAGTGCAAGCCTGGTTTGTGAAAGACAACAAATTATTCATTACAAAAGCTCATGTTTGGTCTTCTTTTAAACCATTAATTCTCCAGAAAATTGAACTCTTAAGTTTGGTTTCCTGTAGTTATTGCCTTCTCTAGTTGATGCTTTTCCTGAATCTGAGGCATTCAAAATATCTCTTTATTATATGGATATTCTGCCATTTTAAATGAATTGAGATCAAACCACAGACCTCTCCTCTGGGAGGGCTGAACACTGCCCTCCTCCCTCAGTTATTTTCCCTAGTCATGTAGAGGTTTGTTGTTTGTTGTTGTTTGGTTGTTTGTTTGTTTTTTTTAACTTTTGCAACTTTTAAAAATTCAGCTAAATAATCAGTTCGAAATAAATTGGAAAAAAATAGGGATACACCTGCACACACACAAAGTATGATCCCACAAGCCTTATTTTCACAGGGACATGCTGAAAAACTCACAATCTACAAACAGCCAGAAATTGAAATATATGCACAGAAGAACAAAGTGTCTGGAATATAAAGGTGTCCTTTTCCCTTGGGGAACAACGGCATATACTCAGTATTAGCCCAGAACATAAGATGAATGCTGATTATATAAAACCATATGTCTGCTAATGAGAACACAGGAATATCTTTAGTCAAGTCAGAAGCAGAGGGTACTGAGGTATTCTCTCAGTGTGATTTATTTTGCTTAAAAAAAATAAAATCTCCAATGTAATGAGCTGAATATGTTGTTTCTTTACACCAGGGACTTACTACAGCAAGTAATAGAATAAGAAAATTTATTCATGGGGTTTTCACTAACTATAATTGGCTGACAACTGTATCAAAGGTATTTTACCACAAAATAATTGATGAAAGGAGCAGAAGAAAGATGCTCACTTTGGGCTTCCCCTAGCCATGCTTCCCTCTCTAACCAATATATAACAGAACTAGAATCTAACTTAGCATGTCTGTTGTGACATTCTCAGAAAGTAATTATTTCACAAAAGTAAGGGTATTTATTAAAATACACTCTTCTGCATATACATTACCAAAACACTGACAAAGAGTCATGCTGAATATGTGGTAGAGATCACCACAGGACAGATTACTTATATTAAAACCTTCCTTGTGTACCCTGAGCGAGTGGAAGAGATGAAATTATCCTTTTGGAGTAATTTATTAGTGTAACATTACATAAATGATTAGGATATTTCTCATAATTTGAGGTTAAGTGGCTTGTGGGCAACTCCTAAACAACTAGCAAATTATCTCATGTTTATTACAGAATTCTTCCTTCTGTCCTGAGTCAGTTATGAAATATCCAGAAAGGAAAAACTGGGAATTGCTTAGACTTAATACTGGAAACCAACATGATGATGATGGTTTGATCTTAGACAATAATATGAATAAGAATGCTGTTAACACTGAAACTCTTCTCTTGTGCTCCTCCTGTCTTTTGTAACCATCCACATCACCAAGCCTCAGCTATCTGATGCACTTTCAGCATCACATACAGCAATCAGCTTTTCACTTGGAATGAGTTTGACCTTTTAGCATAGTGACATACAGAACCAAGAGGTCGTGATTTGCCAGTGGTAGGATAAAACACGGGATAGCGATTCAAGAGCCATTTGTTCACTATTCTTGGTAGATTTTGGGTGATGATTTCCAAAGAGATACTAAATTTTGCAACTGCATTTTGTCCTAAAGTCAACTAAGAGTTGATACCTTTGGCGAGATTGTGTATCAATCTTTGTATCTGCAAACCTAAAAGTAGAATTCTGATCAACTACTTGCAACTTAATCTTCTACATCAACTCTGCATCTATTATAGATCATGTTTGGGTGTGGCTAGAGTCACCTCTCCTTTTTGTAAGGTCTGTTCAAAACCTTCTTCCCTTAAACAGTTAAAAAAAATCACAAGTAGCAAAACTAAGTTTTTTTTGTTGAATCAGTTTTGATTCTGTAGAACTGGGATTCACTTAGAGACGGCTGAAACAGTAGGATTTATTTGCATCATACCACATACCTGGCATTCTTTCTTTTCCTATTTTTAATAGACAGAATATGTGCCACCAGGCTTATCAAATAATTTTTGAGATAAAGCAACAAAGTTTTAAGTAGTACCCAATTGATGTTGAATTTTTTTTTCAAATACAGATAGGCAGAAAGAGAAAAACAAAGAGAAAAAAGTATGTACCTGTTGGGTAGTGTTCATTCACTGGCCAGCTGTCAACCTGAAGTGTGGCATTGCCACCATTCCTGGTAAAGCGCACCACATGGTATTTGCCATCATTTACAGGTGTGCTATCCTCTTTTATAGAGATGTCCACTGTGCCAATATTGAAGACTACACCAATCTTGCCTTGCTCCTGAAATGAAAGAAAAAAAGAAACAAACGCTGGTAAGTTGGTGTTTATTAGGAGAATATTCTCGGCCTATGAAAGTTTAAGGGATAATTGTGCCAGTAGATGGCACTGAAGAATACAGAGAAGCACCATTTGAGCATTGTCAGGATGCATTTCATTGGCTTTGCTTCAATGCAAGCATTGTCTTTCATACTCTACGGCATTCACCTGAACACAGTGACTCATTTGCTGCCTTAAAACATCACAGACAACAGGTGAGAAATAAAGCAATAAAAACAAGGAGATGTGGATAGTTACTTGAGCAACATCTCTACTGATTAGTAGTCACTTGTTCAACTGTCATCTGAAATGCAGTCACAGGCAGGCTGTATTCCCGCTGTTTCACAAGCAGAAAAACAGAATAAAACCAACAGCTGCTACCCCAAAACTAGTACCTATGGGATCCAGCAGGTAGAATGCAGTTGCAAGATGGACAAAACCAGAAGGGAGCAAATATATAATTAGCCAACTTTCAAGTTGATCACCTGAGCAAAGATAATTGAAGAACCCTCCAGACTTTAAAACAGCAGGAGTAGCTGCACTCTTATTTTTCTACGCCTCACCCCAAGCAGTGCCACTACAGTGTTTTCCCAAATTTTTCCTTCAGTCATTAACTGAAAAGGTAGGCAAAGTCAGTTGTACAATCCATAACATTTCCATCTGAGGCTCTGGTCACATAGTTCCAAGTAATGACCAGATTCAGAGACTTTAGGTTGTAAACTACACACACACAGAGTATATTTAGGTTAGATATCTACATTTATTACTACTGATTTAAAGGGTGCCAGAAATTCCCATCCCTGTATAATACACATTTTATTAGAATGTATCTTCAAGCCCTCAACAAGAAGAGGCACAGTATGCTACTATCAATATTTGTGACAGTGTATTAGGTGTATTGCAACTCCAGTGCAAAGAGGCAGAACTAAAATGTATCATATAGGAAGCCAATATATTTGCTAGTTAACCATGCTACAAAATTGTCATTAGCCTTACCAACTGCCTCAATGGAGAAGTCAGGGAAGAAAGAACAACAGAAAGTGGAAAATCATTGCATATACAAATACAGACTCTTCAAAACAAATGAGATATACTAAAGGGGGAAAGAGACCATTTTTCTACTGCTATTACCTTACATTCTGCTTGTGGACAGAGGACTACATCCTTCAGAGCTGTTACCCTGACTGACTTTACCACATTCATACTAGCAATCTCAGCAATAAGAAAGAAATATTTTGTCTTGTACTTGAAGGTCACCTCAGATTCCTCTCCTGGATTTACTCCTGTCCCCTGGTATCAACAGACCGTTACCCTAAAACCTCCATGTCTTCCAACTCTCACAGAGACCTTTCCAGATTCTAGGTTTACTTTACATTTCCAAGTTTCCTCACACCAAATACTCATCAAAAGATCCTCTCCCAGGTTCCTTATAACTTAAATGGCCTTTCTCTTTGGACTTTTTTTTCCTAACACTGTCCTCTCTGCTCTTCAGACTGTAACATTGTTACTAGGAAAGGAAAACAGTCCTGTAGATTAAGAGGTCAAAAAAATTGTGCTTTGACTGTTGAGATTTAGCACTGTAACAATATACACACGGATATAATTTCTCCCATCTTATAATGGTAAATTTTAGACTGTGCTAAATGTTGGATAGCAACAGACTCACATACATTCACACTGCTATGCTTTGGAGACACTTCATAGTCCCCTCATAGAAACATAGAATGGTTTTGGTTGGAAAAGACCCTTTAGATGATGAAGTCCAATTGTTAACCTAGCACTGCCAAGTCCACCACTACATCATGTCCCTAAGCACCACATTTCTAGATCTCTTAAACACCTTCAGGGGTGGTGACACACCAGCTTCTCTGGCAGCCTGTTCCAGTGTTTGACAACTCTCTTTCAGTAAAGAATTTTTTCCTCATATCCAATCTAAACCTTCCCTGGCACAACTTGAAACCATTTCCTCTCATCCTATCACTTGTTAAGTGGGAGAAGAGATCAGCCTCCACCTTGCTACAACCCCATTTCAGGTAGCTGCAGAAAGCAATAATGTCTCCCCACCTTTTCTCCAGGCTAAACAACTCCAGTTCCCTCAGACAATCCTTAGAGGAATTGTTCTCTAGACTCTTCACCAGTTTATCTGCCCTTCTTAAGATACACTCCAGCACCTCAATGTCTTTCTTATAGTGAGGGACCCAAGATATCAATAATCTTTTTTCACTGTAACATGGGGTAAGTGGATAGCTCCTCCCAGCCTATGCATGAACTCAGATACCATTTGAAAATAATAAACCTTTATTCTCTTAGACTACCTCAAAAATATGGGACTTCTCACTGAACAGAGATTTATTTCAGGTAAAACCATTGTTGGCAGAGATTTATGACTTTAGTGACACATGAAGTAAGTGATCTCCCCCTTCACTGTTTCAGTGGATCTTTTGTTGGCAACCATATAATTATCTGCACAATAATTAGCAAAGAACAAGTCATTAATTCTTGTTCAAAGACTCAAAGAATGTTTATGACCAGGTAACCTGGTTACTGACTCCTTATGGAGCTAGGTGCTGTCTTATATTCAACCTCCTGAACACAGCTTTTCCATCAACATCAGTACATCAATTGTCTTCTGCAAATGGTGACCACTCTGACAAAAGTCCACCTCAGTGAAGGCATAGTGTAAGCAGGCAAGAGGAAGAGCTGCACCTCGTCTAATGGAGCAGATCACCACCACCACAGAGGAGGAAGGGATTAAGAGGTATTCAGTAGAGAAAATTTTGTACCTTCAAGCCCTACAGGCTTAACAAGGCAGATATAAAAAACATCGGGTGGGGAAAGGGATGGTGGGAAGTTAACTAGTCATCCTTGCAGAATGAGAAAATGTTTCTGATCTCTCTTTTGAGAAAAACAAGATTGCACCTTTCACCTTACCTTTCCCCAGGCTTGAAGGAAAAACACTATTTAAAAGAGCTAGTGATAACCCATGGACAAGGGAGCTGGGAAGGAGACAAGGGAGCTGGGAAAGATACAAGATTCTGGAAATGAAGGAGTGCAAACTGCCAGTGGCCTTTGGTTTTCTAGAGAAAGAAGGGAAATTAGCATCCTGAGCAGATTACCACCTTCTCCCACAGCCAAGGCAATGGCCCTTCTTGATGCTACACAACACGTTGTTGCAACCGAGAAATGAAAAATTTTTCTTAAAAAAATAATATGCCTGACTGAAGGTCTACTCCAGTCCTCTTTAGTCCTCTCCTTGGGCAGTGCTCCCTGTAAGTCTTTAAGATGAGTTTTGGAGAAGTGCCATTAAACATCAATGCTTCATGATGGACATGACCTTTCATTCCTTTCTTCATACATTCAGTAGGTTTTCTTTTCATGTCATCAAACACAGGTATTAACTAAGCCAGTATTTGATGAAGAAAAATTTACCCCTGAGACATTATCTGTGAAGTTTATTTTGTAGTAAGAAAAAAAAATCCTAAACATAAAGCAAGGGAAAAGCTGAATATGTAGCCATGCATGGTATGCAAGTTACATGCTCCAAAAGGGCTCAAGAGAATTTTGACAGACAGTGTGCATTTTTTTCATCCCTGCAGCAGTATTCACTGTGCTGCCGCAAACAATTCCCATGAAAAGATGGTCATTAATTTAACCTTTTTGAAAGTTCCAATCGACATCAAGTACTGTACCTTGTAAAAGTGAGAATAATTTTATTTATGTATAATAAAGTAAACTCAGCATTCAATCTATATTTTACTTTTCTCCTTCTGTGTTTGGGGTTACTGTGCTGAAAATTTCTCTTTTGCAGATTTGTCTCATAAAATTGCTGCCCCCAAAAGCCACATTATCTTCTCCTCAGTCACAGTCCTCCTGTCCATGAGAACTCTAAGACTGGGCAAATAAATATGATCATGTAAGGGAATGGTTGTTGATACATTATACAAACAAAGTAAAGCAAAGTCTTAAAAAGAACATACAAGACCTCACCTTAACCCTCAGTTCTACACCACATGCTTCCACAGGCTCATGGCAGCAGATTCTAGCTACAGACACTGCTCCCAAAACTTTCTGAACATCATTAAATGACAAAGGGACTATCTACAGCCTGGTTCAGGAGATCCGTAGTCTATTGCTTGCCCTTATGCATAATTTCACTTTGGGTAACTTTTTCTTTTCCCTTCCCATAGTCAACTATCTTTCCAAGCTCTACAAGCCCTGTAACCTAGGTACAGTTTACTTAAACACTGAAGGTGCCCTGAGAATCCCAACCCTTTCAGCCCTGAGAGTGGCTGCAGTCCAAGAGGGGCAGGTCCTAAGGTTTTTTCAGCTTCTGTCTTCAACTCCTCTGAAACTTGTTCCTTTCCTCTGAAGTGATCTTGGGAACATTTCTGAGGTCTAACATTTTTGCAAATGTGTGGGTCTTTTTTCTTTTGTTTCCCCCTACCCAAAGAGGACTAGAACCTGTCTGCATGCAAATTGTCAGGCCTTTGTTTTCTCTGTGTTCTGCTTTTACATTTTGAAGTCATCTTTCTGTAGCAGACAGGGTGAAAAGAAAGTCAAATGGGGCTGGCAGTGGTTTTGTAAGAGGAACAGTAAGCAAATGGTAACATGCAGTGTGTGCTCTGAAAAGGGCTTTTTTACCTTTGGGTTTTCTTTTTCTTAATCTAAAATTTAAATCATTCAGTCTGAAAGTGTACAGCTCTTTCCTGTGTGCAGAAAGCATTTAATTTCAAAAGCCAAATGAGAGAACCCTAGGCAATAGGACAAATCCTACTGTCAGCTGCATTGATATGAATCGATAGCAATTCTATTGAAGAAACTTGATTCTTACTGATGCAAGTGGTAGCAGAGTTTATCCTTGTATCTTTGTGTTGTTTTGTTTCTTTTTTCTGAAACTAAATGTGGAATATATATATAAAAATAATTTCTAAAACATAAATGAAATCCAATCAGAATCCCAAGAT